TGGCTTGCATTGACTTCGCATCAGCCGCCATTGCTCCGTGCCACGCTCCTCTGCCCCTGCCATCTGCAGCCTGCCTTTGCCACCTTCGGATTCGTGCTTCTCCCAAGCCTTGCCGAGAACAACAAATTCGATGGTGTCAATTATGTGCCGGAGAACCAACAGGAGTAGGAGCAAGGCACGAAGTAATTGCGGCTGGTACGGTGGCTAATGACGTCACGTGCAAGAAACCTACTTACACTGAAAGTAGCGCCATTGATTGACACTACGACACACTCTCACCCTCTAGAAATATTGTCCTCTTCAAAGTTCCCCTTGCCACTACCACTGATTGACCGAGCGTCCGTCCGGTTTCGGTTCGCCACTTTCGTCCGCCGCCTCCCATTCTCCGGCGGCGTGCATACGACTCTCCTACGTCACGCCGCGGTGGTGGCGCGGCGGGCGCACTTCCGGTCTGGAGCGGTGGGCAGAAGTTGCCGTGCGAGACATGCGTTCCTGCGTTCCTTTGGAAGAAACCAGACAAAAAACCTGCTGTCTCGTCAAAATGCTGCGATGGGGGCTGTACCAAGAGAGTCTGGAAAGGTTTGAAAATCAATTTTTATGTGTTTCTGCCCCCCCCCCCCCCCCCCCCCCCCCCCCCGTTCGTCCGAGAACGTGGATAGTAGCCGTGAAAAGGGCAAACCAGACGCGCTGTCGAACTACGATTGCTTGTGCGGGCAACACTTTGTGGTCGCCAGATGTATTTACTTTGTTCCAACAGTTCCAACATGAACGAGAGAAAACAGCCAAGTTGCCCGGACCACCCGCGGGTTCAGCGCGTCTTCAAATTCACACGGCCGCCTGATCGTTCGAACTTTCGTCTGCTCTTTCAAACTTGTCTGCTTTTTGTCGATTGCTCGTTCATACAAAAGCGGCCCGTAGACCAAACTTTGACCCGGTGATGGCAATAAGAAGTAATTGCAGGCCTCAAAAGACTTATGTAGGCTCGGTGTAAACAGTAGATACAAGATGTTGATCATTGGTACCGGTGGCCATCACCGACTTGTTACACGCTTCTGATTTTATGTATCGACGTCGATCATCGCCGCTACCTTCTACACTTTTGCAGCACGAGCGACGTCGCGACCGAAAATAGCTAGAAGAATCTCATCATGGTTTTGGCGTCCATTCTGCGGCGTTCATGCGAATGAATCGCCGCACGTCAAATTATTTACGCCAAGTTTAGCGGCGTAACACATGCCTCGCACGGTGACTTCTGCGATCAAAGTGGTAAGACATTGCGATGAGGACGTAGAATCGACAATTCCAACCTCGAAAAAGACTACGCAGACTCACACAGACGCCGACAACGTGACATTCCAATGGTTTGTTGACACGGGACGCGGTGCTTCTTGCCCGTACTCCATTGCGCATGCGTTCGAACCGTCTGCTCTTTCAAACTTGTCTGCTTTTTGTCGTCAGCTCGTTCAAACGACAGCGGCCTGTAAACCAAACGTTGACCCAGTAATTGCGAGGAGAACTAAGTGCAGGCCTCAAAACACTTTTGAAGGGTTGTTGGTTTGTTGGTTGTTTGAAGGTTTGTTGTAAGTGTAAACAGATACAACAAGATGTTGATCATTGTTACTAGTGGCCATCACCGACTTGTAATCCCCGATTCTACTTGCGGTTTTCAGTATCGACGTCCACCATCTCAGCTATACGGCCCACGCTTTTGCAGCCCGAGCGACGTCGCGACTGAAAATAGCGAGCAGAATCTCATCGTGAGAGTCAGGCTTTAGCGCCCATTCTGCGGCATCAACGTGAAATGAATCGCCGCACGTCACATTATTCACGCAAAGTTTTGCCTCGTTAATATTGCTGAACCTGCTCAAGTAGTCAGATATTGTTAGGAGGACGTAGAATCAACAATTCCAACGCGAAAAAGAGCAAGGGGACTCCCACCGACGCCGACAACAACGCAATTCAATGGTTTGTTTATGGGCGACGGCGGGCTTCTTGCCCACCATCCGCCGCGCATGTGCGGCGCCGGTGGCGTCCGCTAGGGGCGCTCCGGTTTGTTTGTAAGCATGAGTTGGTGTAAACATACTACGTTGCCAGACGCCCATCGAAGCTTTTTTTTTTTTTGTATATATAGGTAGAGCGCATGTCACGTGTTTTGCTTCTAGAAAGGACATCAAAATGCCACTATAATATGGCGCTACAAAATCACTCGTGCGTGTTTACAAACCGATCATTCACGTTTTTCATTTCGTCGTCACTTCGGTGTGGCAGAAACAGAGGCACAAGCAGTGATGATACTTGATGTCGACTGTTTTAGAAACGAGCCACTCGGCGACACCGAAACTACGGTGTGCTCCGTTCGCAACGTAAGATCACGGCCTCGGCTCCCCTGTCTGCTGAAGAGAAAATGAGGGCAATCTTTCTCATAGTTGAATTTGACTGTATGAATGTGTGTAAACGGAAAGATTGCATCTGAACACAGATCCGAGCAGACGCAGAGCCGAAGCCTGGACAAGACTCGCGTGCCTGCTCCCAGACCCGAATCAATGGAAAGACATACCCAGTAGCAAAAACGCGTCAAGGTACACCAGCAACTGTTTTCATAACGAAAACGCGGAATCTTCGAGTCAAAATTGCGCAGGAAACAGCGATCTAGCGAGGGTTTCCCAGCAGTCACCTGCCACGGCGCCCGACGGATGGGAAGAGGAGGAAAGAGAAAGATTCTGCTTGGGAGAAGAGCGTGTTGGTTTTGGTCATGGATGAAGAAAGAATAAAACAATTAAAACAGGGACAACACAACCACATCTTTCATTGTGATCGTCACATCGTCACATCGTGAAAGATGTGGTTGTGTTGTCCCTGTTTTAATTGTTTTATTCTTTCTTCATCCATGAGAAAGATTCTCGAGGGAAGGAGGGCAAGGCGATACCCTCAATTTAGACCGTTTTATCGTGGGTAGCGCCATTTTGAGAGAGAGCGAGAGAGTAGAGGGGAAACGGCTGCCGTAGCTTTCCCCATTGCTGGTGCGTAAGGAAGATAAAAAGCCCCGTATGAGAGGCTTCACCGGTGTTGGGTGCATGCATTGCCCGAACTTCGTTCGCGCTTTCTTCTCTGTTTTAAACTCTGAAACCTACTTAGAGGCACGGGCTTGCATGACGACAATCCCCCGGTCATCGGGACACCATTGCTAGATCAAAGGGTGCACGAATACCGACAGAAAGCGTGGAATACTGTCTGAGGACCTATGTAGCTTGCACGGAACCCGGCAAGTGCGGCTGCAATGTCTTTAAGCTCCATCGCTTTCTACAAGAACTCGATCTCCGGCGGCAGTGGGTTGCGTCCGTGAACCGAAAATACTTTTCTCCGACTACATTCTCGACTGTGCTCGTAAATGGAGCGCGCACCGAACACTGTACCGCCGATGAATATTGGGTACGCTCGCAAGGTGCGTGCAAGTTTTCTCGTGATAACTGCTGTTTCAGCTTGCAACGTTTTGTAACCGAATTTATCTTCATAATATAATAATTGAAGTGAAGACAATGACTCCATTTTATCATTTACAACACTTAGTTCAAGGCTCAGTTCCGCCACCGGGTGTGGCTGGAAATTGTAGAAAAATTAGTTCTATCGCGTTTCCTGAATTGCGATCTTCTTCGCGATACCAGAGAGCCGTGAACCTATTTTGACCTTCACAACGCAACTAGACTCTTTTTATTTTCAAAATTAATACATGATGCAGCTGGAAAGAAACCTTCAATTTTTGTTGCTGAAAGTTGAAACATGCTCATGCCTCGATTTCGAAACGTTGAATCATTGATCGAAAAAGTTGGAAAGGACAGTTGGTTGTTCGATCTTTTAAAGGAGCGATGCAACAATTTTTAAACTTTGCGCAAATACAGCTTAAAACAGATCCCTAACGTTAATGACCTCTGAAACACGCGTTCGTTTTTCACCCCACGCAATAGAAGTCCCAGAAAAAAATTTAAGAAAAACGAGCAGCGTTCACCCCCTCATCTCGCAGCCAGAACAAGCGTCCACGTGATCTGGAGCCGATTATATGCCGCCAGTGTTGATCATAGCCACGCGCTGGGGTTGGCAAAGCGCAGGACACGCGCTGAGTTCCAGACGTTGTTATGGCTCGGCTGTTGTCGTCGTTGCAGCGATTGGACACGGGTCACAACCCGAATGTTTCTCGAGCTAGCAATTGTCACGAGCCCAAGTCGAGTGCCCACGCAATGCTCGAGGCCCAATCTATGAAGCGCATTCAAATATCGTCACTTGGGTGTACTGCGATCCCCACGTTACGTCATCAAATTTCGCAAAGGAGAGATTGAATAAAAATGATCGCTTTTGTCCTTGAAATTACTCCGCAACAAAGGAGTTTCTTGGCCAATGTCGTTGCGTGTGAGTATCCTTGAGTCCCAGGTGTGCCAGTAAGCTCGTGTAGAGAGGAAAACATTCCAATTGAATATCCTTGCACCGCTCCTTTAATGGTGCTGGGCAACGGGGCTGGATCCACGTTTATCTGTCAGGGAATAAAGACGCTATTTGCGGCACTACGTTGAACCAAGTGAGCATTAAATGATCACTCAATATACTAGTTGCTACCTCCGGAGTTTGTTTATCTGACTCCATCAAAGCCACGCCCCACTCCGTACGTCTATTGGGGGCCCTTCGGCTGTTTTCGCGCACCTTCACTTTGTTTAGCTTGAATGCTTTCCTAAAAACCTTAATAATAACGGCGGAAGGATCTCTGTTACCGACAATGTGAAAGGCCTTTTGCCGAGGCAGCTTATGCTGTGGTCTTAAGCAGAGATTGGACAGTGGCATTTTATTTTTAGGGAGAGCAAAGAACGAATGGTCATTTATTTCTCACACTAAGCAATGTGAGCCTGGCCAAGGCGAATCAAGCACAGCCGCCTGTAACTGCCTCGTCGAACGGGTCTTTTACATTGGTGGAGATTGTGCGGATATTTGCTTTTCGCTTTATGGAAACCACTCACCTAGGCTGCTTCGCACAAGGCCATTGGGTGGACCTTCTTGGTGTTCCTGTAACAAGAAAGACAATATTTCTCTTGAACTTTTTTGTTTAAATAGTTGCTGCACAGTTACAAAAACACTAACCTCAACGCTTCTAGGAAGATCCGTTTAGAGACTTTCTTAAAACTTTCTGGACAATATGGTGGTCTGGATGTGTCCCTTGCTCCTTTGAAGGTAACTTGGTGAGAAAGTATGCAGTCTGGTATTCGTATTACGAACCCTGTATTGCATGGCGGCGTGCGCGAAATAGAGGGGGCGCTTTTATAGCTATCATCATCATCGTTTGTGACGTCATAGGTAGGGCAGGCTGGGACAGGCCGCGCAGATCTTGGATCTCTCGGCTCGTCAGCTCCCTTCATGCGGTGTTTAGGTAAGGCACTGCAATGACTGTTTCACGCGTTATGTTCATTTGGTGAAGCAATATTTCTAGTAGGTCATTTTACCAAAGCTCAAAACTGTGGCACGCGTTGTCGCGCTAACAAACACTTTTGGCGCTGATGGGTCGAAACGCTGGGGGATGGTGGTGTGCTGTTCTCTACCCCAGTACAAAAAGCTAGATAGTAAAAATGAATTATCCAGCGCTTTACCCTACTACAACATCTACCACGCCGAAGAGGGGGTATTTTTTATTTTATTTCAGAGAAGGTAAAACTGAGAAAAAAATTATCATCAAAATACAAGTAGGAAAGTGAAATTAGAGAATCTCTCGCGTGTGTAATAAACACCTTAGTAAAAGCGACTTCGAGTATCCTGTTGGTTGATGTGTTATGTGAGTGCTGGTTTCTTAGCTCCAAGTTGCTTCCTGTTTTTTTTTTCTTGTGTAAACAAGTAAACAAGTATTTCCTCAAAATAACTGGCAGGAAAAAGCAGTGCCTGGCTTCCGGAGTCGTTGAAACTAAATCACTTATATACCTGGTGAATGCGAAATGTGCGAGACCTTTACGCCATCGAAATCTTAAATTTAGTAAGTCTGTGACACTTCACCGACCCAAAAAGGAAGGTATACACCTGCTATGAATTACTGCCGTTTGCATGTTTAGTTTTGCGGACCCAAATGCACATAATGTATGATGCGCTTTTCAAAGAGCGAATTAAAATGTGTACACAATTCTTAGCAAGCCTTCAGAACAAACATAACAAATTAATAAATCACCTGAATTTGCCGGCCATGTTCGACAAGTTAAGAAATTATAAACAATTCAGCTTTTTTTTTTTTTTTTTTTTTTTTGAGCAGAAGTGGCGATGTGACAAACCTCTTTGCCACGGATCCGATGCGGGATGATCTAAGCGTAAGTTTCTGACGAGCCTCTGCTAGAGGCTCGTCAGCAAGTGCCGAGTCACGCTTAGATAGAAGCGTCGGTATCGGTAAGCTCATTGTAGCTAAAACAAGTGTGCGGCGCTTTGCAGGACTAGGGCGCCTTTGTGGCGACGTCGGTGTAGTCGTAGCCACCTGCCAAGGCGGTTTCTCAGACGAGAAGAAGCCGACACGAGATGGAAGCGGCAAGCACTATCGGGAATCAGATATCTCTCCCCGGCCTGCCTCCCTTTGAGAAACAAAGAGAGCCGCCAGGACGGAGAGACGCGTTGCGAGGAGGACCGGAAAGGAGGATATCGTCGGGGAAGAGAAAGAAGAAAGGGACCCCGACGAGTCGAACCCAGATGCTGTCCGTCCGGCACAGGTGTGGGGACCACGATCGGTCCTCCCGTTCAAGTTGCAAATAAAATATAGTTAGAGTTTACAAGCACATTTTCCTGGTCCTTTCTCTCCGCTTTGGGACGACCCGAACTCTACAGTGGTGACCCGGTTTTGCAAAACAACCTTACGCAACAGCCTCAAGCCCAGTCATGCCGGACACTGACCCCACGCCATCCGGCAGCATCTCGGCAGTCGCCCTCAAGCTGCCTGCCTTCTGGCCCGCGGACCCGCAGCTGTGGTTCGTCCAGGTTGAGTCGCAATTTGCGACTCGTCGGATCACAGCGGACATGACGAAATTCCACCACGTCGTATCCAGCCTCTCCCCAGCCATCGCCACGGAGGTGCGAGACCTGCTGATCACACCGCCAGCAGAAGACGCCTACAACACACTAAAGGCACAGCTCATTCGCCGGACCAGCGCCTCGGAAGAAAAGCGTCTCCAGCAGTTGCTTACTGCCGAGGAACTGGGCGACCGGACGCCTACGCAGCTGCTGCGTCGAATGGAGCAGCTCCTCGGGGACAAGGCGTCTACCATCGACGCCTCGCTCCTCCGCGAGCTATTCCTGCAGCGGCTGCCAAGCAACGTGCGGATGGTGCTCGCATCGGCAGGTGACATCGGCCTTGCCAAGATTGCTGAGCTCGCGGACAAAATCATGGAGGTCGCGGCGCCATCACCCAACATCTGAGCAGTCCATGCCCGCGGCATTCCGGACGAGGTACGTGAACTTCGAGCTGAAGTCTCTCGCCTCGCTGACATGGTGGCGCAAATGCAACCTCTCCGCGGCCGCAGCACGTCACGCGGACGCCCTCGACGACAATCTCGCTCATCGTCCCGCGCGGACTCCGGCGACTGTTGGTACCATCAACGGTTTGGTGCTTCAGCTCGCAAGTGCGAGCCTCCATGCTCGAAGTCGGAAAACGCCAGGGCAGAGCACTAACGGTGGCAAGTGCTCCCGTCGCTCAGGACAGCCGCCGATCATTGTTTTTTGTGGCGGACCGCACCACTGGCGTACGTTTCCTCGTGGACACCGGAGCAGAAGTTAGTGTCGTCCCTGCAAGCGCACAAGATCGCCAGCACCCCAGTACGTCGCAGCTCCGGGCCGTCAACAACACGGTCATCCCGACGTACGGTGAGCAGTCACTGACTCTCGACCTCGGACTACGGCGGACTTTACGTTGGGTGTTTGTATCTGCGGCTATCCCGCACGCCATTATCGGAGCTGATTTCCTGACGCGCTTCGGGCTACTGGTGGACCTCAAGGGGAGACGTCTTCGAGACGAAGCGACAAGTCTTACCATACAAGGCATCCCGTCGTCCCTGCAATCCATCAGCCCCACGTTCGCGGTACCGGCTGAGGAGTCGCCGTACGCCAAGCTGCTCGTCGAGTTCCCGGAGCTGACGCGTGTTGGACCCGACGAGCGCCCCATCAAACACACCGTGACGCACCACATCGAGACGTCAGGCGCTCCGGTTCACGCGCGTCCACGCCGATTGCCACCGGACAAGCTACGTGCCGCCAAGCAACAGTTCGAGCACATGCTGGGAATCGTCCGCCAGTCGGAGAGCTCCTGGTCCTCGCCCCTGCACATGGTCCCCAAGTCCACACCCGGGGACTGGCGCCCGTGTGGAGACTACAGAGCCCTCAACCGGATCACATCCGAAGACCGGTACCCGATCCCGCATATTCATGATTTTACAGCATCGCTCGACGGCAGTACCATCTTCTCCAAGATCGACCTGGTACGTGCATACCACCAAATACCGGTCGAGCCCTCGGACATTTCGAAGACGGCAGTAACAACGCCCTTCGGTCTCTTCGAGTTCGTGCGTATTCGAGTTCGTGCGAGTTCGTGCGTGAGTACTGTGGCGACGTCGGTGTAGTCGTAGCCACATGCCAAGGCGGTTTCTCAGACGAGAAAAAGCCGACAAGAGATGGAAGCGGCAAGCACTATCGGGAATCAGATATCTCTCCCCGGCCTGCCTCCCTTTGAGAAACAAGGAGAGCCGCCAGGACGGAGAGACAGGTGTTGGAGAGACGCGTTGCGAGGAGGACCGGAAAGGAGGATATCGTCGGGGAAGAGAAAGAAGAAAGGGACCCCGACGAGTCGAGCCCAGATGCTGCCCGTCCGGCACAGGTGTGGGGACCACGATCGGTCCTCCCGTTCAAGTTGCAAATAAAATATAGTTAGAGTTTACAAGCACATTCTCCTGGTCCTTTCTCTCCGCTTTGGGACGACCCGAACTGTACACCTTCATGTGCGCTTCGGGTAGAGTGATGCCAAGTGCCTATTTCCCTTTCCCACACCCTCTTCCACCGTCATTTTGTTCCTCTCATTGTCTCCCCGTGCGCCGGAAAGTGGCCTTTGTATCCATCGGTCCTCCCATCCGAGAGGGAAAATGCTAATCCTCCCTCCATGGGTTCCACAACGCTGCTCCAAACTTGTGAGATGAGGTGCTTGTTTCCGGGAGGATTATAAGCCCCACGGATTATCGCCAAGAACCAAGTGGCTGCTGGTTTGTCGGCGAGTGGTATTACAAAGGGTAGCCTCACCCCAATGATGGGCAGTATTTCAAATACTTTGTGTATTTTGCATTTGTATTTAATTACAAGTTGGGTAATGTATTTGACGTGTGTATTTAAATACTAAAACGTGGGTATTTCAAATACAATTGTAATTAAACACAATTTTGTGGGCGAAAATACATCCCTCAAATTTATTGTCACGACTCAATTTGCTCGTTCTAAGATCTGTCCAAAGCAGGAATAAAACTACGTTCTGCACCGAATGCAGTGTCTCTCAATCAAGCACAACCGTTTAAGGGGTATCCACACGAAGGAGAATTCCGCGGACGGATGTCGTGACGTCAACATCCCGGGAAACCCCGTCCCCGGCTCCGCCGCGTGCACCTGCGGAGCTTTCGTGCTGACAGCACGTAGCCTCCGCGCCTCCGCCACGGAGGAGAACGGCGGCGCGAGGACAGCGAGGCGTCAAAAAGGGATGACGTATGTCTCACGTGATGCGCGCTCCGCGGAGGAAAGGGGCGCATTTCTCCTTCGTGTGGATACCCCATTAGCGACTTTGTGATTACGGTGCTAGTAGGGCAAGAATAGTGACGAAATCGACGTTCACAGGCAGACTGGCTAAATAAGTGCCAATGACAACTTGTGATGCTTTCAAGCTTGATTTCAATCCATACTTTTGCCTGGAGCATTCTAAATGCGCGGGTCGTCCAGATTTTCGTAACTGGTGCGAGTTGCAACAATAAAAAATTCTCTAGCTAGTGATGCGCGTCTTGGTCGTCTAGGTTCTCTGTAGCTCTATACCAAAATGTAATCGACAAAAAAGCTGCTTGAAGCTCTGTACTTTTTTCACCTAATACGTCCAAGCTGATTACTTTTTTTGTGATTATATTTCTATTACGTTACTAGAGCCTCGCACAGAAACTCCCGAGTGTGTGATGCAAAATTAAAATGAGATACCCAGAAACCCGTTGCAGGTGCCCTGAAGTCGCTGACGCAAATTTTGAGGAATGTATTTGGAAAAGTATTTGGAGGAGACCAAATATATTTGGTGGTATTTGTATCTTGTACTTAAATGCTTTTTTTGGAAATGTAATTAGATTTGTAATTAAATCCATTTTTGACGGACTATTTTGTATTTGTATTTCGATACATATTTGCAAGTATTTTGCCCATCCCTGCATCACCCTCGCAAAGCGCACATGAAGGCCCCTATGCAGGACAACTAAAAGCGCGTGCGCAGCCAAGAATACAGCACGTGATTTACTCTCGTGACTGCAAAACTTTTTCCCACAGCAGCCTCCACAGATCCAAGAAAGCAAGAATCAGAGAGGTTGTTAATAGCCTTGGCGCATGCTACGCTAGCTGTATTCTAAAGCTTCAGGCTTGTTTTTGAACATTTCAAAGTTTTTTGTACCATAAAAAAGCAACCTTGAGGTGCTGTTATACATCAAAACGATCACTCACAAAGACGCTATACACGTTTCTATAATAAATAAACCGTTTCAGTCGGCATAAATGCCAACTAACACAGCCACTCCTTGCTTTGGCATAGCGCGTCGTCTGCTCGAATCCTACCAGCTCAGTCACAGGAGGGCGCCTGCAAGGTGGCGCCACGAAAACATCTCATCGCCAACAGGAGCTCGTAGAGTCGCGATGCCATTAAAACTTCATGCAAAAAACAAACAAACGAACAAAAACAAAACAATACAGGTACGCATGGTGAAGTTTCTCAACGCTTGTTTCCGCATTTATAAATAAAGCAGTAATAACCTAAGAGAACATATTTTGTCTTTTGAGTCTAACTTTAGCTCTGTACGCGAAATTGGTGGAAGCTAAGGCGCAGTGAGCCAGGGTGAATATTTAAACCTGTCTTGGCTCGCGCGAGCCAAGACACCGTCCGTCTTAGGCCGAGCCCCCTCGAGCAGGCCCATACTTGTATCATGTCTCGCGTTAGGAAAGCGGATGGCGTCCGCGTTAAACTTCTCGCTGTGTTTTGTCGCACTTGGTATGTAACACAAACACGCAGTAATTATCGTTCTTTGTAATGCGAGAGCTCCGCTCGTAACGCTATTGGCAATACGCGATGTCGACAAAAATAAGGTCCTTACACGCAGTTGGGTTCGAATACGTTTCACTGCGTCGAGTGAGCAACAAGCGGCGTACGAAGAACGAATGACCCGGTTATTCGTAGCCGCAACGCGCTTCAACGGCCTCAAACCAGAAAGAGCCGCTACAGCTCACCGCGCCTCTACGCTCATAGAGACTATAGATTCTACCGAAACCGACGGTTGACCGTTGACGTCACCTTAAGGCGGTAAAGCCGAGCGTCAGTTTCGGTAGCTCGATTTATTATATACGAAATATTACGCTTCACAGAACTGCATAAAAGTATTAATCATATTGCCAAGTCCCTCTAAAGAGTCTGAAAATGCCTCTCTCTAGAAAAGTTCAATATCGTCTTTATGGCCCCTTTAAGTAAACTAAATGTATACGCTCCCCTTGTGGAGCAAAGTGTCGCGATGGTCTCAAAATTTCAACTCCAAATATTGCGGGAAAAGCGACCGTCACTCTTGCAGGAGACGCGACGGACGCGACGACATGAGGTTACAGTACCCCGCGCGTGCAGCGCCTTGCGTCTCCCTAGTCCTTCGGAAACACAGGGGCACTGCGTCCTCGGTTCTTGTGTGTCGCCTGCTTGTTGTAAACGGTGGCTTTTTAAAACAGCGCTTGCGTCATGCAATCTTATACGTATAAGTAGCAGACACAATGGCCGATGGTTCAAAAAGCCCCCCCCCCCCCCCCCCCCCCCCTCTTGTCAAACTTTAGTGTGAAGTCTACATTTCACGAACTCATAGCAAACGATATGTCCCGCCCCAAACCCGGAGCTCCCCAAAGTCCCTTCGCCGCGAGCGCTGTACTCTGAAACGAAAAAGCTGATACCCTGGCTCCGGAATTTAGTATTCTAGCTTAGAGTAAGCTTATTGGTATTCAAAGCGCCACCTGCCCGTAGCATCTATGCAACTTCCATAACGTTCCCTGCTCTTCTTGGATGCCAAATTGTCAATAGAGAGACCATACAATGAATGGCGACGATCGCAACTCAAAACTATGACGCTTCGCGAAAATAACTGAGACCGGGCATTTCGAGAGCTGGGTATCAGAGTTGTTGCTTACGCAGTCTTCATTTGGGTGTCCCTTGTGGTCGCACTCCTGGCTCCCGGCGAAGGCTCTAAGCCTGCGGCCAGGTAGGAAGATATGAGCGACGGGTATTCCCTGACATAAATGAGCACTAAGAATGCTCTTGCTACTTAGAAGCATTTTAGGTCAGCTCGCTACAGGTACGCTCGATGTTGCAATAAAGCAAAGCGAAATTTGTGACATTAATGTGACGGCAAAGCGTATTTTGGCGGGGGTAATCCATAGCATTTGAGCTATACATCAAAGAAAGCAGCAAATACAATTGACGATTGCTTCACTGCGAGGAGAGCGTGCGCCGCCACCCCACAACACTCCGAAAATGACAAGGGGACTGGGGACGACGAAGATATAAGGCTCACCTTCTAACCGGATGATCTAGGTCAATGTTCAAACCATTCATACGAAATGCGTCCACTTACAAAAAAAATCCTAACCTAACGTCACCTAAAGCAAACCCACCTAACCTAACCTAAGCCTAATATAACCTATCCTAACCTCATCTAACCTAACGTAAACCTAACCTAACTCTAATGCAACTTAACCTAAGCTAACCTAACCTAACGTAACGTAACCTAACCTAACCTAAACCTAACCTACTTAATTTAACCTAAGCCAAATATAACCAATCCTAACCTTATCTAACCTAACGTAAACCTAACCTAGCACTAATGTAACTTAACCTAACCTAACCGAACCTAACCCTAAGGTAACCTAACCTAACCCTAATGTAACTTAACCTAAGCTAACCGAACCTAACCCTAACGTAACCTAACCTAACCTAAAGCTAACCTAAGAAAAAAAGGGTCGCGCGAACGTATCCATTCAACGAGACCGTTGGTCGTAGGCAGCGAGTGACGAACGCCTCGCTAGGCCTTCCCACCGACTTGAGCGATTGCTGAAGTTGGGATTGTTGTCGTTGCTTCCGGAATTTGTGAATCGAGCAGCCTTCACCGATAATTGCATTTTCGAGTGCGCATTTCTTTTCGTTTCCTGGTTGAAGTCGGGAAGCGCACGAACAGCACGTGGAACTGTGCTCGTTGGTCTCCACGGCGATGATTTCAAGCGGTGTTGTCGGCTATGAAGCTATCATAGGATTCTATCGTAACTTACATACAACTTCCGATTGTATCGCTTGGCGTATACATTTTTTTTTTAGGTTTCGTTTTGTGCACGTTTTACGTGATAGCAAAACCTAGTACACTTAGCGAACAGTTTATGCTGCAACGCCCTAAAGCACGCAACGAACGCATAGCAGAGCGGATGAAATACCTGGCCTCGTCACGTGATACTGGTCACTACGTCATCATCGAGCGATCGCAGCGCATTAATGGGTCCCGCTCGGGGCTAAAAGGAATGTTCCGCGCGCTTCCTCTCATTTAAGTGACGATAAGGAATTATCCCCAGTGATAGAAATGCATTAAACTGTAATGGCGATCAGAGCATAGATCTTCCAGCGCTCGAAGCGCTGAATCGCTCTAGCGAATTGCTCGTAGGAGTAATTAAACTCCAGTATTTAATTTACTCTCAACAAAGTACTAACCGAGTTCCGCAGTGAAGTGTAATTGCAAGTTACTAATAGATGTAATCAAATCACAGCATTTCAATTACTTCAAATCAGGGATGGGCAGTATTTAAAATACAAGTATTTGAAATACGTATTTCAAATAATTTGTGTATTTTGCATTTGTATTTAATCACAATTAGGAAATGTATTTGAGGCGTGTACTAAAACGTGGGTATTTCAAATACAATTGTAATTAAATACAATTTTGTGGGCAAAAATACATCCCTCAAATTTATTGTCACTGTCCAGAGCAGGAAGAAAACTACGTTCTGCACTGAATGCAGTGTCTCTCAATCAAGCACAAGCGTTTAGTGCCTTTGTGGTTACGGTGCTAGTCCAGGGCAAGAATAGTGACGAAATCGACGTTCACAGGCAGACTGGCTAAATAAGTGCCTGTGATAATTTGTGAATCTTTCCAGCCTGATTTCCTTCCATTTATTGGCCTGGAACATTCTAAATGCGCGGGTCGTCTAGATTTTCGTAACTGGTGCGAGTTGCAACAATAAAAATTCTCTAGCTAGTGCTGCGCGTCTTGGTCGTCTCGGTTCATTGTTGGTCCTATACCAAAATGTAATCGACAAAAAAAATTGCTTGAAGCTCTGCACTTTTTTCACCTATTACGTTAAAGCTGATTACATTCTTCTTGTGATTATATTTCTATTACGTTCCTGGAGCCTCGCACACTAACTCCGAGTGTGCGATGCAAGATTAAAATGAGATAACCAGAAACCCGTTGCAGGTGCCCTGAAGTTGCTGACGCAAATTTTGAGGAATGTATTTAGAAAAGTATTTGGAGGAAACCAAATACATTTGGTTGTATTTGTATCTTTTACTTAAATGCTTTTTAGGAAATGTAATTAAATTTTGTAATTAAATACATTTTTGACGAACTATTTTGTATTTGTATTTCGATACATATTTGCTTGTATTTATCCCATCCCTGCTTCAAATAAAGCACTAGCCAAGCCCAGTCCAAGTGTGGCAGCAATCTGTCCGAGGAATCTCTTACATCTCAATGACCCTGTGCTGCTTGAGCAGCTCGTCGTAGTACTGACGTCGCTGAAGGGGCGTCATGTCGACCACTTCTCTGAAGAACGGCCGCACCCTCGACATCAGCGGCACGTAGCCCGGCCGCCCCGGAACAATCTCTGCGAATATTATGAACGCAGAATATGCCATAGGCAGAGTTACGTGTTTTCCAATAAACTCAACGGAAAAAAGTTGCCGTTAATATTTTGTTAATTCGGACTTATCCAAAAACAACTCCAAATTTCGATGTCAAGGGGGTGAAAAAACACACAAAAAAACTCTCTGCATTCTACCTGCGTGTCCCAAATCGCGGCCAGGCTCTTTAAATTAATCGCAAAAAAAAAAAAAATCGGTTTCTTAACTAATTGCGTTCCGATTTTGTACAGCGTTGGCTACAAATGGTGCTAGCTTTCTATAAAATTCGCAAAGAGCGAACTTACCTGAGAAAAAAGTAGAAAAAGAAAAAGGCTTAACTCCTAAAGAAACCCAGCGAAGCCACCGGTTTTCAATTATCCGCTTTCAGATTATGCCTTTGGATTAGGTAGGCCAAAAAGAGGCTCTAGGAAGTTTTCTGAACGATACTTTGTCTCATCCTACGATGGACTAAAGGCCAAAGCCACGGGCCGACAGGTCCAAACCCCGTTCCAAGCTATACTATGACACGCTTAACACTGATGAGGGGTGGACGAATAATGCTGCGAATCCAAAAGCGCCGCATAATTTCTATAGCTTTGACGCTGCAAAGAGCCTATGTGTCGTGGCTTTCTGTGCGACGTAAAATTGTTGAGTCACTCAGTGCTCTTCGATTCCAGCCACTGTCCACCTATCCCCTTAGTGCCACTAAATGAGCTACGCTTCAGAGTAACGACACTTGGCCATATTGTGGCTTAAAACCATGGTTGCCAGTTATCTGAAGCTTTATCTGAAATGACAGGAAACGCTTTTCCGTCCTCCGCAGATGTTTAAACGGTTCGCGACAGAGCAAAGCAATACTACACGAGCTTCCTGACACCGAATCTGATGCCGAGCAAGTCGCACTTCTGAATTCTGACGATCGGCAGTTGCGTCTGCTCTGCACAAGCACCAAAATGGCGGCGCCCACAACAATGCCAGGGAACGGAGTGCCGATACTCTAAGCGCAGCTCATTTAGCGGCTCTATATCCACTGATCAGTGATCCGAGACGCGGGATCCGATACTTGCACCGAAGCAAAATACCGCAAAATTTCTAAGCGGCTCGTGATTGAATCGGGCGGTCCTTAGCATTTGCCTTTAGTCCATCGTAGGGTGAGACGAAGTATAGTAGTTCCGTCATTGAGGTCCGAGCTCAACAGAGGGCAACGCTTCAATACAGACCGCGAAAGAACATGCTATTATAAATATCGCTGGCTTTAAACGAAATTGAGCAACGTTTACTGATATCAAAAGTCCCTCTTCGACACTAAAATTATTTATCATATGGTAAAAATTGGGTTAGAATTACGTTTTAGTGTTTAAAGAGAATGCATTTTTGGCTGCACTTTCAAATGTTCCCCAAAAAATCTACCTGCGAAATTAAAAAAAAAAAAAAAAAGTCCAGAATCTGCAAGCGAGCGCTTATTGATGTTTGTTTGCCAGAAGTTCTGATACATTGTGTTGACACCTAACGGCGGTGCATTTCTGCCACAAAACAATGTCTATTTTTGCCCTTTCCTTCGATTTTCATGCGAGCCAATTAGAACAAACGCTGAGCGATAGCCTCCTCTATACTGATAATGCCTGCCCAATGGCCGGTTGCCAGCTTTCACCACAAGGGTGCGCCGCTTTCACATCTAAGAAAAAGAACAAACGTGAACGATGTGAACGACGCATCTCTCGTGCGTCCTTGCGTTATTGGTGCTATTTCGGGCTGTTGTCGTGGTGGCTGTAGGTCGTACTTACGTTTTTCTTTGTTTTTTTTTTACCACGCTTTTTGTTGAATTTTAGGCAGACTCGCAAAAGGTGCCAGGGATGTCTTGTCCTGAGACCCAAAAGAAAACCCGGGACCACGAAAAGTGACTGAAGCCGATTTTGAGGAAAGACTGCGTGCCTAATTCGGCTGCACAGGAGTATGCACAAAGCACCCTTTTACGACAAGCATTATGGAAGGTATTTCTAGACAGGTCTTCCTTAATGTCCTTACGAGTGGATCCCAGCTTGGTTTGGGCCTCCCTGTCGTCACAGCTGGATCAGCCCATGCATCCTTTCCGACCTCTTTTGGCGGTGCTTGGCCGGCTGACCTGCCCAGCTCTCTCTCGCGCTACTCGAGGTAGTGACGAGCGCGTGATGACAGGCACAGTACGCCATTACGAAACATGAGCCCCGTCACATTTAAGACTGTAGCAGCGTGGCGCTGCAAGTCACGGCGCACCACGGCGCATCGGCTGTGCGCACCCCGGTCACGGATGTCACGTGACCTTTGCT